AGACACAGACAAACTGACTGGGTAAGAAAGCACCACTCACATATATGTTGTTTACAAGAGACCCGCCTCACAACAAAAGACTCACAGAGTTTGAAAGTGAAGGAGTGGGGAAAAGTCTTTCAAGCAAGCAGAAAGCAAAAAAAAAAAAGCTGGGGTAGCAATACTCATTTCTGATAAAGTAGACTTCAAAATGAAGACCATAACTAGAGACAAACAAGGCCACTACATAATATTGAAAGGATCTATCCAACAGGAAGATATAACCTTGGTAAACATATATGCACCCAATATCGGAGCACCAACATATTTTTAAAAATTTTTGGAGGACTTCAAAAGAGAAATTGACAGCAATACAATAGTAGTAGGGCACTTCAACACCCTGCTGACATCACTGGATAGATCTTCTAGACAACAAATTAACAAGGAAACAGACTCTAAATGAAGCATTAGATCAAATGGATTCAATAGATATCAGAGAATTACATCCCAAAACTGCAGAATTCACATTCTTCTCATGTGCAAATGGGGCATTCTCAAAGACAGACGACATGTTAGGACACAAACTAAGTCTCTACAAGTTCAAGAAGATTGAAATCATATCAAGCATCTTCTCAGATCACAATGGCATGAAACTAGAAATCAATTGCAAGAAGAATATGCAAAGACATTTGAAAACATAGAGGCTAACTACCATGTTATTGAACAATGAATGTGTTACCATGAAGATCAAGGAAGAAATTTAAAAATTTTTGGAAACCAATAAAAAACACACACAACAACACAAAATCTATGGGATGCAGCAAAAGCAGTTCCGAGAGAGAAGTTCATAGCACTACAGGCCTACCTCAAGAAACAAGAAAAATTTCTAACAGAATATCTAACCTCACAATATAAAGTACTAGAAAGCAAACAAATAGAAAACCACAGAGCAAGTAAAAGGAAGGAAATAGTAAAGATCAGAGCAGAAATAAACGATATAGAGACCAAAAAACAATTCAAAGTATCAATGAAACAAAGAGCTGGTTCTTTGAAAAGATAAACAAGATTGATGGACCCTTAGCTAGACTCACCAAGAAACAAAGAGGGAGAACCCAAATACACTAAATCAGAAATGAAAGAGGAGAAATAATAACTGACACCACAGAAATACAAAGGATTGTTAACCAATATTATGAACAATTATACGGCAACAAATTCAACAATCTAAAAGAAATGGACCATTATCTAGAAACACATAGTCTCCCAAAACAGAACCGGAAAGAGATAGAAAACTTGAACAGACCAATAACAACAGAAGGAATTGAAGATGTAATCAAGACTCTCCCAGTAAACAAAAGCCCAGGCCCGGATGGCTACATGGGGGAATTTTACCGAATATTCAAAGAGGAACTAATACCCATTCTCCTCAAACTATTTCAAAAAATTCAAGAGGAAGGAAGACTTCCAAACTCATCTTATGAGGCCAGCGTAATTCTAATTCCAAACCAGAAAAAGACACTACAAAGAAAGAAAACTACAGACCAATATCTCTGACGACCATAGATGCCAAAATTTTGAACAAAATACTAGCAAATCGAATCCAGCAATACATCAAAAAAATTACTCACCATGACCAAGTGGCATTCATCCCAGGGATGCAAGGCTGGTACAATATTCACAAATCAGTAAATGTGATACACCACATAAACAAAATGAAAGACAAAAATCATATGATCATATCAATAGATGCTTAAAAAGCATTCAACAAAATCCAGCATCCATTTCTGATAAAAATGCTCAGCAATCTGGGAATAGAGGGATCATATCTCAACATAATAAAGGCCATATATGAAAGACCTAGAGCCAACATTATACACAATGGACAAAAATTAAAAGCATGTACCTTAAGAACAGGAAAAAGGCAAGGATGCCTACATTTGCCACTCTTATTTAACATTGTACTGGAAGTTTTAGCCACAGCAATCAGACAGGAGGAAAAAATAAAAGGAATCACAATTGGAAAGCAGGAAGTGAACTGTCATTATTCGCAGATGACATGATACTATATGTAGAAAACCCCAAAGACTCCATCAAAAATTTACTGGACTTAATACATGAATTTGGCAAAGTAGCAGGATACAAAATTAAAGTCAAGAAATCGATGGCATTCTTATACACCAATGATGAACTCACAGAAAGAGAAACTAAAAAAAAACCATCCCTTTTACCATCGCAGCAAAAAAATTAATATACCTAGGAATAAACTTAACCATATGAAAAAAGAAATAGAGGAAAATATAAAAAAGTGGAAGCACATACCTTGTTCATGGATCGGAAGAATCAACATCATTAAAATGTCCATATTACCCAAAGCAATCTGTAGATTCAATGCAATCCCCATCAAAATACCAACGACATACTTCACAGAACTAGAACAAATACTTCAAAAGTTCATATGGAACCAAAAAAGACCCCGAATAACCACAGCAATCTTGAAAAAGAAGAACAAAGTTGGAGGGATCACATTACCAAACTTCAGGATATACTACAAAGCCACTGTAATCAAAACAGCCTGCTACTGGCACAAGAACAGACATATAGACCAGTGGAACAGAACAGAGAACCCAGAAATGGACCCAAGGCAATGTGCTCAATTAATATTTGACAAAGGTGACAAGAGCATACAGTGGAGTAAAGACAGCCTCTTTAATAAATGTTGTTGGGGAAATTGGACAGCTACATGCACAAAAATGAAACTAGACCAGCAACTTACACCCTACACAAGAATAAAGTCAAAATGGATAAAAGACTTAAATGTCACTCATGAATCCATAAAAATCCTAGAAGAGACTGTAGGCAACAAAATTTCAGACATCATATGCAGCAGAACTTTCACATACATCTCACCTAAGGCAACAGAAACAAAGGAGAAAATGAACACATGGGACTACATCAAACTCAAAAGCTTCTGCACAGCAGAAGAAACAACCATCAAAATGGAAAGGCAACCCACTGTATGGGAGAGTGTAATTGCCAATGATACATCAGATAAGAGGTTAATTTCCAATATATAGAGAGTGCTCATACAACTCAACAAAAGGAAGGCAAAGAACCCAATTAAAAAATGGGCAGAGGAGCTAAATAGACACCTCTCCAAACAGGACATACAAATGGCCAAGAGACATGGGAAGAAATGCTCAACATCACTAAGCATCAGAGAGATGCAAATTAAAACAACAATGAGGTATCACCTCACACCTGTCAGAATGGCCGCCATCAACAAATCATCAAACAACAAGTGTTGGTGAGGGTGTGGAGAATAGGGGACTCTAGTACACTGCTCGTGGGAATGCAGGGTGGTGCAGCCACTATGGAAAACAATATGGTGTTACCTCAAAAAAGTAAAAATTGAACTTCCATTTGACCCAGTGATCCCACTTCTGGGAATATACCCTAAGAAGCCTGAAACACCAATCAGATAGAATATATGTACCCCCATGTTTGTAGCAGCACTATTTACAATAGCTAAGATCTGGAAACAGCCCAAGTGTCCACCAGTAGACGAATGGACAAAAAGGCTGTGGTACATGTACTCAATGGAGTACTATGTAGCTGTAAGAAAGAAAGCTCTCTTATCCTTTGAGACGACATGGAGGGAGCTGGAACGTATCATCCTAAGCAAAACAAGCCAAGCAGAGAAAGACAAATATCACATGATCTCACTTATTTGTGGAATATTATGAATATAACAGTCTGAGGAATGGGGTAGTCCCAGAGACGTGGAAGTGGGGTACAGACTGACAATCACCTAAAGAGGGGGGTAAACTACAGAACTTATATGCATGTATGTATGAACAGTGGACATGGACAACAAAGGTGGGGGTAGGGTGGAGGGGGGGAGGGGAATCAGTTGGGGGGAAAGGAGAAACATCTGTAACAAAAATAAAGTAATTAATTTAAAAAATAAGTTAAAAAAATACAAAAAAAATAGTATATGAGATTTGGTTATCCTGGCTGGTTGGGGGGTGAAGGTAGGGAAAATCTATTTTGCATTAAGAATTGGTGCTTGGAAATTCCTTGACATGCAGTGGCATACAGCTTCTTTAATGACCATTTGTGCTTAACTTGGATGAGGTAACACAGAAAAGAAGGCTTTGGGTAGTTGAGTATCCACCCCCAACCAAAGAGTACAAAGGACATGAGGGACTGTTTCCACATGGGGGTGGCTGCTTCCAATGGGGCTGGCAGCACAAAGAGAAGTTCAAATTCCTAAATTCTCTGCTCAAGACAGACTGAAACCCAGGCATTCCATAAAAGAAAATTATTACCTTGTACATTCATTGAATCCCTGGCCTAAATTCCCAGTCTATCATTTGAAACTTATGATACTGGTCATGAAAGAGGGTGTGGGGGCTTAGAGTTAGAATATTAATATGTGGGAGGGTATGGGAGAATGTACTTCAGACTTTTATCTCCCAATGAAGAAACTGTTTCTGCTTTAATTAAAGAACCTGTAGTGACCTTACCTGAGAGTGATACTTTTTAAAGGAAGCCAATTATCTCCACCCTTCTATCTTCCACCCTAAAACTGCCTTCTGTACCAAGCACTTTATATGCTTTACAAACGTTAATTCATTTAATTCTCCCAACATCTCCATGAAATAGTTACTGTCATTATAGTCCTCATTTTACAGATGAGAAACTGAGGCACAGAAATGTTAAGTGCCTTCCCCAAGGCAACAAAGCTAATAAGTGGTAGAGATGATATTTGAACCTAAGAGAACCTATGCTCTTAATCACTGCCCTATCCTCCACACCCTCTACCACCCTGAGCGATCTGGTGTCCCCTGATTAGAGCTTTGAATATATGGAAGTGATTGAATGGAGTACCTCCAGGCATTGGAAAAATGAAGAGGGTCAGGCATCAGAGGTCTCTTGCATTGTTTACAAGTACCATCCTTTATTAAATCCACAAAAGAAAGAAAAGGAAAGAAAAGAAAATCCCTGTTTCTGGGAATGAATCATGAAGTCATTTTCTTTGTGTTAGGTTTTTCATTAGGTTTTGCATGCATATTACACCCCTTGAGCCATTCAGATGAATCATGGCCATGACAGTGCTTGGTCCAAGAATCCCTGGGAAATAGAAAGAGGGAGGAAGGATGAAGTGGACAGCCTGATGGGGTGGCAGTGCCACCCAGCTATCCAGGGTCCAAGCCATTCCCATAAACTTACCAGGCATGCATACCATTCAGTGAGGATACCACCTGCTTGGCACATATGATGTCATCCAGAATATGGCGGTTTAGAAGGTCTGGGAGAAAGAGAGGGACATAATGATCTGGTGGGGACAGGGTGACAGTATATGTAGGGCCCAGGGATTCTGGGTTTCTTGGGGCCTGAATAACATTAACAACTACATTAGTTGATTCTGGATAACCTTGATTTACTTGTCAGCTGGTTACCTCAACTACTGTGTTGGCTGGTTCTGTATGACCTTAACTCATGTTGACTGATCCTGGATGACCTTGATTGTCATGTTGGCTGGATATGAATAACCTCAACCACCATATTGGTTAGTCCTAGACAACCTTAAACTTCATGTTGGCCAGTGACTACAATGGTAGCTGGTCTGACATCACCTCAATTATCATGTTGGCTTGTTGGAAAGCTACTCAACTGAAAGATTGGTAAGTCCTGGTTACTTTAAACACTATGTCCTGGATAACCATAACTCCCATTTTGAGTGGTTATGATATGAATGACCTCAATCTCCATGTTGACTAGTCCTGTTCAACCTCAGCCACCAGGGTGCCTGGTCCTGGATGATCTTGACTATCATGGTGGCTGGACCAGGATGGACTTAACTGCTATTCTCACTAGTTAATGATAACCTCCATGTTGACCTTTCCTGGACAACCTCAATTGCCAATTGCCATTTTGACTGGTTATAAATAACTTCAACCTCTATGTTGCTTGGTCCTCAACTTTCATTTTAGCTAATTCTGGACTACTTCAACTTCCATGTTGGCTCAAAATGAACAACCTTAACTTTCATTTTAGTGAGTAATAAAACACCTTAATATTCATGTTACCCTGTTCTAAACAACCTCAACCTCTATCTTGACCAGTCCTGGACAACCTCAACCTCCAAGCTGGCTAATCTTGAGTGACCTCTTCTGTCACTGTGGCAAGACTTGGACAACCTCAAACCGGTCCCAAATAACTTCAGTCTCCATTTTGACCTGTCTTGGACAACCTCAAACACGATTTTCTCCGGCCCTGAACAACTTCTACTGCTAGTCAATTTTGTTCTCAATAATACCACACTCTTGTCTGGAAAGTTCTCTCCTTTCTTTACAGAAGTATCTTGTTTCTGTTTCTATGACAAGATATCTGCTTCTTTCCTCATGGGCTGAACAACCTCAACCCCAAATCAGGACAATTGCCTCAATTCCACACGGAGCTAAGTTTCCTGTTTCCTGAGTCCCAGAAAACTGGAGCCTCCATTCTGGGTGATGTTTGGAAGCTCTGAGTCCTGCTGACCTAGACAACATTTCAGTGCAGTCTGAGTAAGGATACAGAGTGGTATATCTAACAACCTAGGCAACTCTGCTCTTTCCCTATCCTTTTTCTGCTTGTTACTGGAGGTTGTGGCTTAGATAACCTTGCCCTCTGTGTGTTGGGCCAGGCAGGGCTTCAGTGTGTCCCCACTGCTGACTCACCATGACACTCCATGTGACAGAGGTTCTGGGTGGGTGTAATACCATTGTCACACCACCAGGCGGAGTTCAGCTGGAAAATGCCATATTGACTGCTGCCATCAATATTGTGGTCCACGAAGGAGGTGTCAAAGCCACTCACATAATGTGCCATGCACAGCCCTGGGGCAGGGAGAAGGAAGGTAGTAGGTAGGTATGGGTTCTGGGAATAGAAGAGATTAGGAAGAGGGGGTGGGGTGGGAACAGGAATGGTTGTCATCTCAGTTGTGAGGGTGATGATCTTGTTTTGTTGGTGGTGTTGATGTTGGTTTTGGTGAGATGTCAATGATGGCAGTAGTGATGGTATTCATCATGGTATTAACAGTGATGATATTGATGGTAGTGATGGTGTTGATAGTAGAGATGAGGGTGATGGTTTTGAAGGCAATGATGATAATGACATTAGAGTTAAACCACTCATCATAGTCAGTTGTGTGGGGGGGGGGGTGTGACTGAGAGGATCATGTCCTGGCCTGAAGAGGTGATAAATGACAAGGAGGGCCTATATCTGAGTGGGAGGCTTGGGGTATGGGTGGGGCATGGGGCAACTGAGGTCTCACAGTCTCCAACGCCGTAGCCTCGGAAGCCATTGAGGCCTGCCTTCTCCAGCTTCATTGCCAGGTCACAACGTTCATAGATCTTGGCATCCACACTGGCAACTATCAGCATGGCTAGGGTCACCACTACAGTGCCCCAGGCTTGCATTATGACTCCCACAAGCCTTCCTAGCAGACTTCTTCCTCCAGACTCACCATGCAGTATTCAGAACTAGGGCATTCTGGAACTCTGGGCTCTATGAGCAAAGACATAAGTGATCGATTCTGGAACACAGAAGCCAGAGGGTTGGGCACCTCACCATTTTCCTCAGTGCCAGCTCTGTTACACACACACACACACACATACACACACACACACACACACACACACACGGAAAAAGAAAGACATATATACAGAGATGGAAGGAGACAAAAACAGAAAAAGAGATGTTAGAAAGAGATACAGAGAGGTGGGGGCTGGGGACACTCAAAGCACAGACAGGACTCACATTCGGCCCATATTTCCCTACATTCCTTATCACTGTCCCACTCTGCTGTTAATCATTCTCTAGCACTTGGTTACCTCCATTTCCACTCACTCTGCACCTCATCACCTCTATCTCCCCCATTCTGCTAAGTAGTCAGCTCTATCACTACACTGTGCCTACTATCACCTTGGATTCTTAATTCTTTGCAACATATGACCACCATGCCTTCACCCTCTGCCCCCCCCATTACCTACATTTACTCATTCTCAGCATTTCCTTCTGCATTTCCTTTAGTGTGCCCTGTTCCATCCTAATTTACTGGAATCTGCCCCATGTTATCCCCAGTCAAACACACTCTGCCCCACGTTACATATTATATGTTATATATTACATGTATACACAATACTGCTTTTCACCTCCATTCCCATTCTACCTTTTATTCCGCATTCACTTACAGTGCCTCTCATCCACTCATATTCATTCACACTGGGCCTCATATTACTGCAATTCCCTAACCCCCTATTTATCATTAACCAAATTCTCTCACATCATATTCCTTCTTCACCTCCATTCACTCTTACACTCATTTCCTACTTTTACCTCCACTTCCTGACCCTGAATCAGATGACTTCTGTTCTCTCTCACGTGGCCCATCCTTCAGCTTTGTTCATTGACTCTGGACCTCATTTTCTCCCTTATTCTCTCTCTAACCCTTCTTCACCCCTGTTCTTTATAATGCTGTCCCCATAAAATCCCCATTTCCTGGATCTGTGCCCCATATTACTCCTAAACACTAGCTCAAGTTATCTAGGTATACTTACTCTATGCTTGATCGCCTCCATTCTTTCTCAATATTTTCTTTATTGACTCTACTCTCACTCTGCCTTTCATTATCTCATTCATTTACATTCACTTCCAGAGAAACCCCTATTTCCACTCATTACTCCTGTTCTACTCCTGATTAAAGTTCTCCCACTCTGCCCTACAGTGCCCCATTCAGTCACACTCTGCCTTGAATTCACCACTTTTTGCTCACATTGGGAACCATTTTTCCCACCTTTCTCACCTTGGGCCATGTGAAAGGACCTTCATCCCCTCTCCCTCTGCCTCATAATTCCCACTCATCTTCCTCTGACCTTTATTTTCATCCTTTCTCTCCCTGCCCAACATTACCTCTATTCATGCACACACTTCAGCTCATTCACCTGGGCTGATTCACACTGGGATCCCTGAACATCCCTGGAACATTGCCTGCATTGCCCCAGCCTGCCCTCATTCACTTTTCCTCACTCTCCTTCCCCTTATCATAGTATCCCTACTCAAACTTAACCTGATTCACATATTCACATTCTACCAAGGATTCAGCTCCATTACTTCTTATTTTGTCCCTTGTGTACCTCATTCTTCCTTCTATGCCTCACATTACCTCCACTCACTCCTACCTTCCCCTGAAATTCACCTCTCTTTACTTATACTGTGCCTCATAAACCATCATTCCTTCACAAGGTAATCTTTAGTATTCATATAAACTCTGATGCATTATCAACTCCATTCACATTTACGTCCTTTCCTTACTCCATTCACTCAGTCTGATCCCACTTTAACTATTTGTCACTTAGACTGTGTCTCATTTTCCCATCATTTACGCAGTCTCATCCATAATTTCAGATTAGGGTACAGTCTAATGCATAGTTACTTCCTCACTATACCCCACGCTACTCACATTCACTCCACTCTGCTGCTCATTCATTTCCATTACATAGCCCTTTTTCTCTCCAAATTTATTCCCAATTTGTCCTTCATTCTCCATTATTCACCACCCTCCCTGTACCAGTGTCTCCCATTTACTGACACATCAACCAAGACAGAAAAGTCTGATGTATCATCCAGGATTCGGTATGACTGCACATAACACCACCACCACAAATACCAGTGACTTCAAGAAGTTAGAAAGAGATTCCTCACTTGAAGGCAGGTAGTTCAGGGCAAGTGTGTCAGCTTCAAGGTTACCAGAGGACTGTCTCCTTCTGTGCTGTTGCTCCATCAAACTCACCTGCTACCTCATAGTCCAAAATGACTGCTCACAATTGGCAACACTTTCATAGTTTTAACTAAATGTACCTTAAGAGCAACTGTAATGATGACTCACCAGCAAGTTGGAGGGCCTTTGGGTGGGAGTGTCACATGTGCAGACTCTATGTGGTGGGACTAGCTGTCAGCTTTTTACACCACCTCACCTAGCCACCTGCTGTTTAGGCTACTGTATGAGGAGGTCTCACCAGTAGGGATTGATGGTAGAGGATGCACAGGACAGAAAATGGGGGTCTTAGCTTTGCAGCAGAAAAGCTGGCCTCACAAAGCTTGTGGGTGTGCACTGTGAACCCTGGGACAGTTTCTGAGGGGCTGTATCACCGGCGTAGGGATATTTCTGGAGCTTCACCTCAATACCCACCAACCCACCAACCCACCAACCCACCAACCCACCAACCCACCAACCCACCAACCCACCAACCCTAAAGGAGTTCTCTCTCCATGTGTGCTTGTGTGCTGTGTGTGTGTGTGTGTGTGTACAAGCTGGTGGGGAAATGATGTATACAGGCTGGAAGGGGCCAGACTGGGATGGACATAAAGGTCCAGCCCCCTCCTAGTTTCTACTTCCTAGTGCATTGAGAGGGCTGATAAGTATTGTACCCAGGGAGCAAGAGATTTGCATTACTCCCCTGCTTTCTCTCTTTGTTTTGTCTGCTAGGAAGCTCTATCTATATTTCTGGTAAAAAAAAAAAAAAATTCCTTGGCTAGTTTTAGTGGTTCTAGAATGAGGACCCACAGATAATTTCCGGAAGTTCTGTGAGCTATTGAATAAACAAGACTATTATTGGGTGGAAGTTAAGGATCTGACCTTGGGAAACTGAGCTAGGTCTGAGCCTTCATTATCACTTGCTGGGCCTGTTGGCAGGAGCCTTCTCACTGGTCTTCCTGTTTTCACCCTTGCCCTCTGCAGTCTGGTCTCAACAAAGAAATCTGTAAATTATCTTTTATTTTTATTCTTCTTATTAAAAAGTTTTATACATACACAGTCTAATTTTATTTAAATCATCATCATCATATTTATATAGCACTTGCTATGTGTCAGGCATTGTTCTAAACCCTTTACAATGATCAACTCATTTGTCATCACAACCCTAAAGAGGTAGGTATTGTCAGTACCCCCGTTTTATAAATGAGGAAACTTAGCACAGAGAAGTTGAGTCCTGCCCTAGGTTACACAGCTGATAGGTGGGGGTTTGAAATGAGGCTGTCTTCATTATGTTCATCTGTTTGGATTTTGTTGTTGTTGTTCTTTTCTTCCCTGCAGTATTCCCACTATCTAGAACACTACCTGTGGTACAGGAGGTACTTAAGCAAATTCCTGTGGAGCTTATGTTCTAGTGGTGTAAGACAGGCAATAAATAGGAGTCAAATATATGTGTATTTAAAAAATTTTTTTCTTTATTGATTTTTTTTTGAGAGAGAGAGGGAGATGGAGAGAAAGATAGGAACATCAATGAGAGAGAACATCGATTGGCCACCTCCTGCATGCCCCTCACTGGGGATTGGGCTCATAACCTGGGCATGTGCCCTTACCCAGAATCAAACCAGCGACCTCTTGGTGCATGGGTCGATGCTCAACCACTGAGCCACACTGGCTGAGTGATATATGTGTATTTTTAACATTAATATATAATGCTAGATGGCTTCGAAGTGGTCTTTAAAAATATGATCCCTTTTATGGCTTCCCATTATGTCCAGAATGAAACACGAGCTCTGTTCCTGGCAAAGGAGGCCCTACAGCATCTGGTCGCCATTCACTTCTCCCTTGCCTACATCTCCTACACTCCCAATATAATGGCACTGTTTCTGTTCTTCCAAGATGAAAAACTAGGTCCTACTTCAGGACCTTTAACATCCATGCCCTTCACCAGAAAGCTCTTTGCTTCAGATATTTGTGTGGCCTGCTCCTTTTGTACCGCATAACTGCCACCTCCATGAAAAGAGATAGTCTCTGCCCATTCAGAGGGAGCAACTTGTCAGTCCCTACTTAACAGATCTCCTTTCGCTCCGGAGTGTATGTGTCTGTTTGTCCTAGGTCGCCATTTATTCTTCAGCTTCTTGTTTGCCTTTAAACGCTTGACTGTCAACTCCCAGCCATAGCCACTGGATGGAGCCAGAGACCTTTCTCTACCTCCTAGACTTTGTGCACTCCTTGCAATTCGGCTTCCTATCCCGTCTTACTGTTCAATTACTCCTGCAAACCCAATGCTGCCCTCCAAGTTCAAGCCACCAAAATCCTGCCTGCTAGAGCTTTCATTAATTGGATATGTCCCCTCTCCGCCATAAGAAAATTTGTCTTGGTAGTTATAGGAATGGCGGCCTCGGAAGAACAAAGTAAACACCTGCTCAACGCGTCCACCCGTCCACCGTCCCGAGGAGGAGACGCGATGGGCGTGGCCATCCCATTGGAGTGACATCATCAGCGCGGCCATCTTCCTTCTGCGCCTGTGCTGCAGCCCAGTGTCCTCACTTCGGACGGCGGGAGGGGGCAGCTTGCTGACTATTGGCGGACACAGGCTCCAAGCTCCAACTGAGCGTGCGCACACACGGCCCCTGCAGTCCTGTGGGCTGCGGAGCCCGAGTTAGTCCT